AGATGGTTACAGGTCTTGGGGTCCAAAGTGATAGTAAAGTGGATAGGGTGCCTTCTACATGGCAGACCTGGGTTCAATCCACAGCACCCAGATGGTCTCCCCAAGTCCCTCCAGGAGTGATTCCTAAGCAAAGAGCCTGAGTAGTCCTGAGAACAGCTGGGTGTGACCCAAAAACTTAAAAAGAAAAAAGGTTACAGATCCTAACTTTTTCAATTTTTTTTCCTATTTTGCTAGAATATAAGAATATTCTCTAATCATCAACATCCCATGAAAAATTCTATGATGTAAAACTCTAGAAATATTTTTTCTTCCTATATATCTTTTCAACTTTCTATTTACTTATTTTCTTTAGAATATGATAATACATGATTAAAATATTTTATTATAGGTTTTATATCTCTTTGAGATTTTAAAAGTTCATTTTTCATAAAATAATTTTTTTCTTCCAGAAGGAGTCACTATACTCTATTCTATAGAATGATCCCTTTCTTTAGGCCATCTTTAAAGGTGTATGCACACTGGGATCCTTCATTTATACTAAGGGAATAAATTTATATATACATAAAACCCACTGTATATTTTGGACAACGAAAGCAATAAGATTTTGAGCTTCAGAGTTGACTGATTTTTTTGTACAGTTATTGTTTCTAGTGTTTGATACTGAAATTTCCACCTTCAATATGATAGAAACTGTCTAAGTTTTTATTCATGATGGTGGGGCAATGTTTTTGTTGGTGGTTGTCTCTCGATATGATAATATTTGCCTTTCTCAGATTGAGGACATTTACAAAGGCATGCGAGAGGAATTGTGATTAGGTAGCAACAGACTCTCATTTTTATGCATGGTTTAACCTGTAATCCTGGTTTTCAGTTTTTGTCATGCACCTGGCCAGGTTTATATATTCCTTTAGATCACTTTGTAGTTTTCACAAAAACAGGACCCAAACATGACATGCACCATGGTTACTGCTTCTCTTCACTAGCTATGAGCAGACAGGCAAAATCAGGTGTCCTTTTATATTATAAGTTTAGGACATTGCTCAGGCTGGAGTAAAAAAACAACAAAGATAAAATATTTTAACAGTAATCTTTTATTCCTAATAAAGATAAAATTCCCCAAACCTAAAATACCCCTCACTATAATGAATTCAAGAATACCTTTTCTTCCTAAATGATTGCCTTAGGTATCTCATAAGCCCATGGAGACACCATATATTTATTTACCTATCTGTTTATTAAGAGCATATTTTCCCAATAAGATGTCAAGCTCTATTAAAGCAGGGACAGTGTCTGATATTTTTTAACTGAATATTTAACTTACAAATTAGTACAATGCCTTGTAATCATTACATACAAATTTGTTAAATCCTGTAATCATTACATAAAAATTTGTTAAAATATGGGGGTGGTGGGAAGGATATTGGGAACATTGGTGGAAGAGAATGGGCACTGGTGGAGGGATGGGTAAACAATTATTATATGACTAAAGTACAAAAGTTCGTAAATTTGTAACTGTACCTCATGGTGATTCAGTAATAAAAATTTTTTTTAAATTGTTAAAATAATGAATAGATAGCATGTTAAATATTACTGTTTTTGATAATGGTAAAATATAGTAAAAATATGCATAAACTTTACTCAAACTTTTACTATATAAATATCTATAACTACACAGGAAATGTTTGTTTTGTAGGGGGAGGGAACAAATATTTTTGTGCTCATTATGCATCAGGCACTGAGGTTCAAAAGCTTTGCAAAATGCCATATTTAAATTACTTCTTATCACCTACTTTAGCGCATTAATCAATCTATTTCTGTCTGAACCACTGACTACATTCTTTAAAATTTTTTTTCTTAATTTATGCATGAGCTGGGGTGATAGCAAGCAAGTAGGGCGTTTGCCTTGCACACGGCTGACAGGTAGACCCGAGTTCAATTCCTCCGCCCCTCTCAGAGAGCCCGTCAAGCTACCAAGAGTATCTCACCCGCACTGCAACGCCTGGCAACCTACCCGTAATGTATTCGATATGCCAAACACAGTAACAAGTGTCACAATGTTACTGGGCCCGCTCGAGCAAGTCGATGAACAATGGGAGGACAGTGACAGTGAATTTTATGCATGGAACTAAAAAGAAAAATCTGCACTGCACTGCAGCACTGCCCTTCCGTTGTTCATCGATTTGCTTGAGCGGGCACCAGTAACATCTCCATTCTGAGACTTGTTGTTACTGTTTTTGGCATATTGAATACGTCACGGGGAGCTTGTCAGGCTTTGCCGTGCAGGCGAGATACTCTCGGTAGCTTGCCGGGCTCTCCAAGAGGGGCAGAGGAATCGAACCTGGGTTGGCCATGTGCAAGGCAAATGCCCTACCTGCTGTCCTATTGCTCCAGTCCAAAATAAAAAATCTATTAAGAAAAATTTAATATTACAATATAGTTAACTTCTCTCTTATAAAATTATTATGAACAATTCTAATATTTCTATAATATATAAGTATAACTATAGTAAAAAAGTTACCTCTTTTAATACTAAGTTTTAAAAAATCAAGTATTTAATAAAAATTGTTTAAAATATTACATATATCAGTATAGTTTTAACCAAATTTCTAGAATATCAATTTTTGGGGGGGAATAATTTAGATAAAATAGTTAAAATCAGATGGCCTGGAAGCAGTCTGCATAGGTTTAAATCCTAGCACTACTACTTAACTTACTTGCTGTGTCATCATAGGCAAGTTAATTTCCCAGGGTCTCAGTTTTCTCATCTATATATTTTTTTATTTTAAATTATTTTTTTATTTTAATGAATCACCATGAGATACAGTTACAGACTTAAAGAGTTTCATGATTATGTTTCAGTCAAACAATGTTCGAGTACCCATCCCTCCACCAGTGCCCATTCTCCACTGCCATTGTTCCTAGCATCCCTCCAGCCATTTCAGTTTTCTTATCTATAAAATGAGCATATTTCTAGTATCTGACTCCTAAGAATGCTATAAGAAATAATACTTTGCAAAAAGTTTAGAATTCAGATGCAAGGCACACACTAAGTATTCAATAAATGCTTGCTATAGCTTTACTTAACAAAGGCTCATAAGGGAAAGTTAGATGATTCACTCATGACTGCAATATAATTCAAGTTGCTAAATATTTTAGTGTCAATATAAGTTTTATTTATAGATTTTTCTGCATAAATGTTTATTTTCATATTTCTTTTCCCAATATAATTTGTTAATTGATTCTTTTAGAGCATATGTGCTAATCTGATGTATCAATCTACTACAGGCTGAAATAGTTACTAATAATAAGCTTCAATATATAAGCAATGTAATAAATATAATTAATAACAACGCACTGTAATATTAAAGATTTGTAAGAAGAATAATCACCAGTGAGGAAAACTCGAACTCTCCCCCAAGAATAAGGTACATAAGTTTTGATGGGGACTTAGTTACATCTATTTCCACTTAGAGGTCTTTCTGGCTCACTTACTACATTATCAGAGGTGTTTGGGAAAGCTGGAAATAGCAAGTAAATGACCTATAGATTAATGAGGCACTATAGTTCTAATTCCATCAAGCACTAAATGAATCAAAAAAAATAAAAGACTGTTGCACTGTTAATTTTCTATACTTAGTAATCAGCTTCCAATGCAATCATTAAACTTACAATCCAAATAATATTTTTAGAGTAATGCCTGTAATCAATATACAGGTTCTACATTTTAAGGACATAGGCCCATTTTCTACAATTTAGATATTGCCAATTATGCTAGTATATGAAGCTCAAGCAAAAGAAAATGTTTTTATGTATTAAATGCATAAAGTTTTGATGTGGACATTATCATTTTACTGAAAGGGATAAAATATGAATTTACAAAATAAGTTCAGTGCATTAGGAATTAATAGATAAATTAAAAAGCAAACACTTAAGTACTTCTAGGGAGTGCAGACAAGAATGGTCCCTTAATCTCATTGGATGTGGCTCCAAAACTCAAATTCCCACCCTGCCAAGAAAGAAAACCCAGCATAAAAAGAAAAAAACCCACAAAAACCAGGTATTAGGAACTCCCAAAATCATAGGAAATTTTGACAAGAAGATAAAAGAAAAGATTACAGACTAATAAAGACAAAAATAATTTAACAACTTTACTCCCAACTCCTAAATGTTTCAATTTAATATTACTTTTAATAGCATCTCTACCTTACCTCCACTAGAGAACCACCAGAAAGAAAATAAAACCACGTACATTGGTGATGATCAAACCTTCTGCTCAAATGGCCATGTGCCAGAAGTGGCAGTTAACCCCATCCTTGGAATATCTGAGGCTGAGCCCACTGGCATTCACTGGGCTGATATTCTTATATTCATGTACTTTTAAATTTTGTGCATATTTCGCATTGTACTCCATCACATACCAATTTATTTTAACATAAAATCTAACAGTTGATTATTTAACTCCTCTCATTGCCCAGTCTTCAGTGAAACTGATGCTCCATGAAGGTTTACATTATGGTTCTGATGGTTTCTCCTTCCCCTTAAACAAAACCAATATGGTCAGGGGAATGTGAGAAGTGTGCATACACAAAAAGTATTTTATTGTAAAAGGATGAACTCAGGGCCTCAAATAATCCACAGTAAATGAATACCCCAATACTTACTAAGCAAATGCTCCAATTTTCATGCAACTCAGTAAGGCTAAGATATCTGAAAGAAAGGTAAACTGGGCCCTGAACATAGCTTTTAAGCTACAGTTTTCATAAAAAGATCAATAATGGTATCTTCCTGCTTTGATATGGAATTAGTGTTTCCCTAAATACATTAACTTTAGAAGTATTGAATTACCCAGAAGGATCAGCATGGCAATGAAACAAATAGTTCTTCTTTGCAAACTAGTGATTATCAATACAGAGAAACCACGGAAGACTGATATATACAGAGGACAAAACAGCAAAGGCCGCAGGACAAAAGATGTCAAAATGCAGAAAGATGACACTTACCCTCATCCTGATATTCTGTCAGAAAAGGTGCATCTGATGTGAGGGAAGGGCCCTGAGTTCCACTGTGATTATCATCTAAGCTGTTCTGTCCGGGGTAATGTTCAACTTGGTCTCCCCCTGAGAGGAAAAGAAGAAAAAAAAATAAGGTAATTCTTTGAAAAACTCTATCAATGTCTTTGAGAGTCCTTCTGGCCCTCAAAAAAAAGTAGGCCTTTTACTTGATGGACAGGACTGTACGCCATTTACATATGAGAAGCAAGAGAAATAAATTCAAGAATCAACTTACCTGAATGCAAAATTTTTAAAAATTTATTTATTTATTTATTTAACAAAGCTGTTCATGATTTGATTTCAGTCATACAGTATTCCAACACCCATCCCTCCACCAGTGTACATTTTCCAGCATCAGTGTCCCCAGGTTCCCTCTCATCACTCCTCTACCCCCCACCCCCTGTGAATGGAAAATTTTTCATCAAAAAATTCTCTATCTAGAATTTAGAAATTGTTAGCTTGGAGTAGGGAGACCTTACTGGATTATGTTCTATTTAAACCACCTCTTGTTTTGCAATCTTAAGAAAGTTCTCTCTCAAAAAAAATTCTCTCTTTATAATTCTAGTTTACAGCAGATGCAACCAACCTCCTAGGAATTCTAAAAGCCCTAAGAAGGTAATATTTGTTCTGTAAAATGGCTTTGATGAAAGGTAATGTATATGCAATACTGAATTATGCAATTAAAACAGTGATAATCCCGTTTGGGTGTTTTCAACATACATTGGATTATATTTTGTAGAAGTGGCCTATGCTATTATGATCCTTTAAAAGGTTCAAGCGGAAGATGTTAGCTCATTCAGAAACCGGAAGAAAAGGCTCTAAATTGCAAATGGCTTTCCTTAAAATCCTCCAAACAGAGGTACAGTCTGCTTATAAGAGGACAGCTGCTCGGTTCATTTCACAAACACGAAAAGTGAATTTTCAGCTGAATTTAATAGTATCATAAATACTAATTTCTAAAGGAAATCGCCAATACTAATCTCAGTAAACACTGCATAATTTGGCTGTGGATTTCAACTAGGGAACAGTGAAACCAAACAACCTACATAGAATCTGTATTGCCTCTCTTTAAAGGTTTACTTTCTAGAATTAAACTATAAAGATGGGGGAGGAGGAGGAGGAGGAGGAGGAGGAGGAGGAGGAGGAGGAGAAGGAGGAGGAAGAGGAGGAGGTGGAGAAGAAGGAGGAGAGAGAGAGAGAGGAAGAGAGAGAGAGAGAATGAAGGGATGTTATCTTCTTTTTCCATAAATTAGATAGTCCTAAATAGACTTTTCTGAGTGTTCAATGATAGGTAGATAAATACCTGCAGAGATAGGACTTTGGAAATGAGTTATAGAGTTTGCTGTGGAGAAGAAGAATAAAATGAAAATAAAACAAAATAGAACCTCAACAATCATTGGCTCATGTCAGAAGAAATACCTAAATTAGGTCACTAATCTAAACCTAGGGTCATTGTGAAATGTTCTAGAGAAATATTCAAATACTAGAATGAGGCTTAAAGTGCATCATTTTATATCACTGATAACCCAATGAAATTATACCTTATCAATAAAATCTAAATGACTACTGACAGGTAAAAGCAGTCTGTGAGGTTAAAGAATTTAAAATTTTTTTAGTCAAATCAAAATCCTATTTTGGGGGGGGGGGGTGCGGTCACATCCAGCAGTGCTCAGGATTTACTCTTGGTTATGTCCCACCCCTGGCGAGTTTGGAAGTTCATTTGTGGTGTCTGGGATTGAGCCTAGGTTGGCTGCATACAAGACAAGTTCCCTGTCCACTATAATATCACTCCAGTCAAAGTCTATGTTCTTTTCTTATTTAAACATTTTTTTATTAGTGAATCACCGGGAGGTACTGTTAAATACTTACAAATATTCATGTTTGCGTTTCAGTCATACAATGATCGTTTACCCATCTCTCCACCAGTGCCCATTCTCTACCACCAATGATCTCAGTATCCTTCCCACCCCCTGCCCCCTCCCCCTCCTCACCCCACAAAGTCTATATTTTAAAAAGGAAGAGAGATGAAGTTTGGGTTACAAAGCAAAAGGTAATATTCATGGTATATACTGAATATTATTTATCAACTATCATCTTGGACTCAGGTTTTTTGCTTGTTTCAGAAAACTGACTAATCTACTTTTTGCACATTTTAACACTATAGTTTTTTTTAAAAAATAAGCAGATTAAAATGGAATTTTAAGAATGAATATTCTACCTGGAATAATTTGATTCACTGTAAGTATTTTAGATTCATTATGAGTGTTACAAAGATAGTACAATAATCCTTTACCCAGCCAATCCATCCACCATCAGTATTAACTTCTTAGGTAACTAAAACATATCTGTTAAAACAAAAAATTTTTAATTGGTCCATTTCCATTAACTGAACTATAGAAGCATTTTAATTTCACCAGTTTTCCACTAATGTCCCTTTTTTGTTTCAAGATCACAGTCCAGGCATGGCATTTAGAGATTGCATTTTTACAGTTTTATCCAAAATACTTCGCTGGATATGGTATTTGATTGTTTTTAACTTTAGCTAGAAAACTAACTCCCTTATGATGGCTATATTTTCTGAACATAGTTGACCAAGATGGTCTCTGAATAGCCACCACTTTGCCAAACACAAGACCATGTTTTCATTAAGGACACAACTACAAAGGTATACAACTCAGGGCAGCAGAAACAGAGCCCAGAGCTGTAGTAAGAATGGTTGCAATGAGAGAAGCATTTAAAAATATGTTTTACATCCAAGCACAATTAGTTCTTGATGATGGAAACGTAGCTGTAAGTGTTTTTAGTGTTATATCAAGTGGCCTAACTCCCTTGGGCACACACAGGGGAAAAAAGCCTACAACACTCTATAAATAGATACTCCCATGTAATTAAAATGATTACAACTACTCAAGATGCATGGGTGAAAAGTTTTATAGAAGAACCAGCAATTACTGTGGTCATTTTGGACCTGCTTAAGTTTAGAACATCATTTTTCCTTAAAACATAACAGTAAGTGATCTCCAAATCAATCTATAGCTCTGACAATCACACTTCCAAGTGGCCACTACTGTAGTCCAGTGGGATCAGACATAAATGATCACAAACTATAGTGACAGACATTTCCACTCAGCAGCTCTACAATTAGGGCTTAGAACTCCATCTGCTTAGAGTGGCTTTCTCACAAGCAAGACCCCCTGCCACTAGAGACACACTTTCCCACTGCAACTCACTCAAAATCAATATGTTTCTATACAGATATACATTTGAACACACAATATCTCCATTAATCACATCCAGTACTTCCAATCCTTTCTCTTTGTATTTCCAAACAAGATCTGGGAGAACTATATCAAGGGCTCACCTGTTATTAGCTGGTAATTTGTTCCTCTATCCTAAGTGTCATAAGAATTGGGCACTAGAAACACTCCTTAGTATATTCAGTGGCAGGTTTTCCACTGAGTATCATGCTGAGAGGCCTAGAAGGGGGATGATTTCTCTATTCTTTCCTGAGAGTCAAACTCAATTTTGTTTGTGCACCATAGAGTGATAAGTTGGGAATTTCTGAGGGTTGGAGCAGAAAAATAAAGCAGCTTCGTGTCAGGTATTAGGCAATTTGCTAAGGTTTCTGTGCTATTTATTTTTATTCCCTGCGTTTTCATTAATGGTTAGTGAGTATTCCCCTGCCCTCCACCTCTTAATTCTGAAACAATAGTCTATCCACTAGATGCTGGCTTTTTCTGTCATGGATTCAACCTGCTCCATAAACTTTATGGAGATGTGAATTAAACTGCTAAAAACTTTCATTTCCTAATTCAATTCCAAACAAAACAGAGGAAAAAATAAACCATGACAATGTACCTCTTCTAACTATTCTGACTCGAAGCAAACCCACCTGATTCTAAACTTGCAGGTATTACTTAGGGACAAAACAAGGTCATTATGGTTATTTACCAAAGATAAAATGGAAATTAAAGACACAATAAAAAGGACACAATGCATTTTAATACATAAAAAACTTATGAATAGATGTTTGTTTATTCAATATGTAAAGGTTTTTCTACATAGCAATAAAGACCCCTAGTTCATTTATCTTCTAAATAGCTGTAATATTTAAAGTGTTCATATGGTGTTGCTCAAAACTTTAAAGTTTACTATTATTTCACCAAGTAGCCTGTATAAAGTAAGGAGAGTGAGATCAACATAAAATGTTTACAATTTTGGGAGGTTTGTTTTGGATTGTTGCCACTGGAACGGAACACAGATTTTTGACTAATATTTCAGAACCCATGAAACACAATCTTCTTCTTTAAACTATTAAATCTTAAATGCTATAAAGTTTCCTGGTTCAAATCATTAGTTTTCCTTCTTGGTAGCATGAATATCAGCAGATTTTCATGGGCCAATTTAATAAAAACGTAGTTCCCAAAGCTTGAACTATAGTAAGAGTAGCAACACTGAGTTTAATACCCCTTATTGTAACAATTCTCCAAACCCAGTGAATATAATACTAACTAAAATATGTTAGGTACATATGTGTCCATATAATTGAAGTATAGCTCAAATATAGATATATTATGAAGCACATTTGCAACACCAAAGCTAGAGTTCCATTAACACTTCCATTATAAATTATGTACCATTTTACACATACTCATGCATTAGAAAATGCATGGTGTTTCCCACAGAACATCCTAGAGGCTTCACTGATTTCTAAATATCCATTTGGATTTGCGTGGTTAGTTCTCGTGATTAATCCATGTGTTGTGAAGGTCTCAAATTCTTCTCTGTTCCATACAGCCTGACTTCCTGCCCATCTCTTTTTCTTTCCTCCTACATCTAGTCATAACTCAATGTATAAATATACCCTTTTCTTCCCCCAAGGCTCTAGCAGTGGCTGTAATAGTATTGGATGTCATTAAGTCTGCAGAAAAAATGATGGGCCAGGTAAGAAAGTTTACATTTATCAATCTTTTTAAAACTTGCTCCAACTAGATTTGGCCATACAAGAAATAAATTCAGGCTAAAACTCAGTTGTTTCGCTGAGGATACCATTGTCTGGCTGTACA